TAAAAAAGAAATTGAATCTTCTATGTAAGTGTTTATCCAGCGAAAATTATTGATGGAGCTTGAGTGTATCTTATAACTAAACTCGGTCAGTCAGGTCATAAACGGCCGATGTCATCGAAAAATAAATGCAAGTGTGAAATCAATCATCATTAGAAATTATATGGCTTTGCAAAAGGGATGTGGGTGTGGATCAAGTGAGGTTTCACAACTACACCAACCATCTTCATTCCACACCCATGTATCACCAAGTGTAGAATTGGATGTATTCCATTTAGAGAAAGGATCGACTCGGTGCGTTGGTATGATCAATAGACACAGATGTCGATGCCTTTATTTCGGTGTTCACATTGACACTGATCCATTCCTAATCAGTCTTCAAGTCATGGTCAAACAAAAACTCGATTTCTTCTCTAAAGATTGACGACAAGCCGTTGATTTCACAAAACAAAAAAGCGAAGTTCTCGCTCTTGCTCGATTCGAAACAATCAGTTCGATTATCTCGTTCACCGGTAGAAATCAATCGATACATGGTCGGGATTTTTTAGAAACTTCGATCATGAAGTCAAAATGTTGACTGTTAAATGATCACTTGTTCGAATAAGAGGCATGCGCTACTATGAGATAGGTCATGCTTTTGATGACAGGAAACTCTTTCAGTAGTAGATGAGAAAGGTTCTCGTTTCAAATGATCATAATTGATCTGTCAGTGAAACTGAAATATTCAATTTAAACAAATAAAAAAACACCGCTTTTCATTTTATCAATTCGGATCAGATACAAAATGACGATAATACAAGACGTATCAGTTAATTGAATATTTGCTTTACAATCTTGGCGTGCCAATAATTTGAATGAATATCGAATGAGACTCCGTTGAAAAGGATTGTTCTTGCATAATTTATCAAGGAATGAGTTCATTTGAACCCTTTCACTTTAAATAGAATTTAAATTGATGTACTTATGAATTTTGAACATATTTGATGAAGACTGTCTGAGTAAAAGTCGAAACGCAGCGTCTGATGCTTCGGAACCACTGCTTTTATTAAGATCTTATCCCCTCACCCTCAAAATTGGTTTTCTGATTTGAAGCAAGTACAAATTGAAACTAACATATACAGGATTATGTGATTGTTCTAATTAGCGTAAATTTCCATGCACTAATATTTGCGTGAATATATCGATTGGCGACAAATTGGTTTTTTTCGTTATTGTCTATTAATTTGTTAACTTGATATTTTCAATTATTATTTAGCTGATTTCTTTGACATTTGCAAAAGCTGTAGTACAAGCATGTGTTTGGTGATATTTGATGAATTCCACGTTGTTGTTGTACCACCAATAAAAAGCGGTGACATTAAATATGTATCATAGTTGATGGCTTGCTCCCACATGATCAAAATAGCCAGACGCAAATCGTTCGGGAATTTTAATCCGAAGACACAAGATGCCAGCGCCAAATATAACATAGAGAATTATGATATTACCAAAGAAATACGAAATATTGGAACTGTATCTGTTCACACAAAACCAATGAAACAAAGGAATGAAGCCTGCTAGAGTAACAACGATGAAACCCGTACTGTCAATAGTGTCCTCATGTTGTAAAACATGAAGCATTATAACGACTATGATAAAAAAAACGATGCGACTGTAGCGAGAGTAACACCCAAGAGGTCTAACTGTAGACACAAGGTATATAATTTACCTGAATAACCATTAAGCAAGTATAGCATTATCGAGGCTATCATACAAGATATGATGGATAAGACCTAAAAGAGTAGCATGAAATAATCATCTATATTTGCAGTTGAAAATAAGTTATCAGAACGTCTAGGCGACATAAAGTCTCGAATAAAACACGACGTAAATAATGCAAACCCAATGATATGTGTCCAAATATTAATTGTTTCATTGTGAAAAAGGAAGAAGCTTACAACACATTCAGACCATGATAAATTATGTCGATAGCCATTGAGAATAAACAAGTTTGTTTGCAAATGTTTTAGAACTTGATCGTACGCATAGAGTCTTCAATATTTTAACCACCACAAGTAGTTTGTTCTTCTCTCATTTTTAAATGACAACTCTTGTTGTCCATTATACGAATCTTTATCAGTTTGAGATTTTGAATGAGAGCAGCAACAGTTTTCCATCCTTCTAAATGCAACGTGACTTATACTCATGTACAGTATTGATTTCAATAGTTAAAGGCACTATATACTTCGGCATGTAACTCAGAATAATAAGCTGTTTATGGAATAAATTTCTCTGTAATGTTTTGTTTTTTTATTTGGAGGCTATACTTGAGTATTTGTTAGAGAATGTTATAGAAAATTTGTTGGTATTGCAGTATTAATGAATCTTCATATGTGATGTCGTAGAGAAAAAAAACATGTCTGTAAACACGTATGCCATAAATTTAACAAAGTATTTAACGTTTTTATTTGGCATATTTTAAAACTTATTTACAAAAGAAACTAGTATTCTCTGTAACTATCAACACAACAGTTTATGTAAGTGCAGAAATATTGTGCGTGGTGTTTTTATTCGATAAGACTTCACTGACATAATTAAGGATTATATCAAAATGGTTCCCATTCAATATTCATCAGTTTACATACCTTTGAATATTCATCAAAAAAAAATGAATAAAACCTAAGTTCTATGAAACAGTCAAAAGCAATTCAAAAATAACCATGGATAATGTTGTTCTTGATAAATAGCAGTATGTAAGAAAAATTTTATTATTCTGTCATTTAATTTTTCAATTTACTTTCTGAAGAGTTTTTTTTTTCTGTTCGATTGTACTCAACTTGTGACATAATTACGGCCGCACTGAAAACGTACTTTTAGTTACATATAATCGTTGCAGGAAAATTTCTGACTTAGTGGCTGAAAAACTTCAACAGTTTATTGATAAACAACAAGCATTCATTTGAACATTTCGATTAACTTTTTCTACAATTTTTGTTTATCTACCATTATGTAATACTATCGATAATTATTTTTCTCATTTTGCTTTTTATACTGTCTGAAGTGAGAACCAAAAAGTATCTTTGAGCTTCACTACCGGGATTTATATCGCAATCGATTCTTTGTTTCAAGCCTATTTGTAACAATAATTAAAAACAACGCAGTCATCCTTGAAGCATTACTTATTGTTACAGATTTTATGCCGCATCATATTGACAGATTTTCACAATAATTATAATAAACAAAAAAAAACAACGATAACTTCAACACTTCATAATAAAAGTGTAGTAGATATCTGAGTATCTTTTATGAAGAGATGTGATTGTGCATGAATCATTCGATAAAACTGAACTGAAATCAAATTTCAGTTGTCGGTTTTAGAAGAAAAAAGATATCTTCTGTTGAGGTTGTTCTTTTGATGGGATTGTTAAAAGGTTATAGACTATATTAAGAAAAAGGAAGTGGACTTCTTCACATGGAAGGGTCTATTTCACCCCTACCAGAAGTATATTTCATTTTGTTGTTAATGGTGTGGTCAATGCGCGAACGCAAATGACCGCGGAATAAATTCTCCACTCGAGAAAGCCCGATGTGGACTCTTCGCAGGCGTCAACGAGGGCGATGTGCAATGCCCACGCCTCAACCTGGAGCATTCACATTGATGATCGTCAATGCATCCGTGGCAGGTAAGTATGACTATTACTTCATCTTCTTCATCACTATATATTTCTATAACAGGCACAAAATGCACAGTAGACTAATAAAACGAATGGAAGAAAAGAAAACTGACTGTGACTCATCATCAACGTTGCTCTTTCTTTTCTTACATTCTTTTATAGTATGTTAAAATGTTGAAATCATTGTAACTTTTTTTTTTTTGAAATTGAGTCTTTCACATCATCACATTCAATATATTCATATTGACAAACACATTAGGATATTAAATTACTTAAATAATTGAGCATTTTCAATTTCAAGAGAAGAATTATTGAATTATTTTTTTATACATTTTACTGCGAGTGAATAATGAATAAAACAAATGATGTATTCTACCCGTTGAAATTTTCAAATATATTCTTTTTTTTTTAATTGGCTTCGGTCATTGAGTTCTACAATGAATTGCTTTACTCTATAATTCATGAAATGTTTAATCTATCAATCAGATAAATCAATGAAAGTGTTTGATACAGATCATATAAATATTTCTATGATATTAAAAGATGAAATAATTCTTCTTTAAAGTATATATATTTTTTGAATAAAAATATAAGCTTAAATGGCACGAGTTTTGTGCAATACTTTATTTAATAATTCAACTTTCAGATTTTCTAGGTAAAAATAGTCTGAACAAACGTCATTGCGTTTTCTAGTGTTAAACATTTCAAAAATTAAATTTTCTTTCTATTTACTAATTTGATTTTTGAGTCACCTTGATTATTCATAAATGCATTGAAATCAACCGAACAAGTTTGAACAACGAAATCGTTTCAATAGAGAAAAACCATTAGTAAAATCGGACAATGTGATCCTATTGAAAATCAGCACCCAACAAGACTATATAGATATAAATTAACAATATTCCTAACACATATTTACATAAATTCAGCAAAAGTTTTTGTAAGATACTTACTGAAACAACAATGAACGGCTCAAAAAAGACAGCAAATCATGATTGTAGGTTTGCAATGTCCATGAACGATATACGAATGATTACAGAAACAAAGTAGTGTAAAAGGCTCGATAGCGATGTAACAAGAAATTAAATATTGCACAATGGATTCACATGGATCTTGCGATAGCTACAAAGAGTTAAGACATTATGATTGTGTAGTTTTTTCACCGGATGTCTTTTTTGTTTTGGTTTCTTAACAGATATCATCAAACTATATGCCGACGGCTACAAAATTTATTGAGTCAAAAGTGTAGGATAATTCATACGTTGAAGCAAAAATTAATGCACAAGCGTTACAACTACTAGACAAATATTCAATACGATATCTTTAAAAAAAAATTATCAAGTTTTATGACTAAAATTTCAAGTTAAAACTTCCAATAGGTGTATCGACACCCACTCTATTTGTTCCAGCATTTAATCCAAGTCCAAGAACAGATGCACTAACATTAGCTGTTGATAAGTCGACTCCAGTTTTAGTACTCAATCCAATATTTGCTTCAACATATTCATTCTTTAAAGATATAGTGTTTAATTCTGCACCAATAACAGCATTCATTCCATCTGCTCCAATGAATGCCTTTGCATAGACGTGTCCTTGACCAACATCAATATCAGTATCTCCTAATTTATGTTTAGAAAGAGATCCATCTGCATGAGCGTTCGCTTGAAGACCATCATTTTCAATGGTTGCATCTGCATCAACTTGACATGCTAAAAAGGAATTTGTACCATCAGAATACAGTGAACCATCTGTCTTTATATGTGCAGCATTATTGAAATCAGAACAAAATTGATCGATTTCTTCATTAATACTATCATCCAAGAGTTCTGTTACAGCACCTGTAAAATTTTCAGTAAATGATAATTTTGGATCCAGTTTAAAATTTCCCAATGGTGTATTTACATTAACTCCATCTAAACTGGCGTTAAAATCAACCTCACCAATAGAATAATTTATATGTGGTGATGATAGACTGAGTGCAGATGTAGCAGCTTCGGTCAAGCATTCTTTTGCAATATTATTTACATTTTCTAAACATGACGATGTGGGTTCAAGTTTTAAATTTCCCAATGGTGTATTTATAACAACACCATCTAATTCAACATTAAAGTCAACTCCATCAATAGAATAATTTACATCTGATGGTGAGAGATCGCATGCAGATGCAGCAGCGTAGATCAAGAATTCATTGGCAATATCCGTCAGATCGCTAGAGAATGTTGTTGAATCATCATCATCTTCATATTCAAAATCACTTTCAGTATCACTCATTGTGTTCAATCCTAAATAACAGAAACCATAAACTCATATTGAACTGTGAAGTAAATTTTTTAAGCTAGTAGGTGTGAGTTCGTTCCGCGAAGATATGATATCATAATATGGGAAATGAAATCGATATAAACGTATTTCTTCCATATTTATGGAGCTGGGATCCGCGCACAAATAAAACTTTATATTTTCATATTATAGTGGACATTGTATCGACAAAATTTTTCTATATCTGCAATTACTTTGTCACACATGGAAAAGCTAAGGATTTCTGCCGACAGCATCAATACACAAGGAGAGAATAGGAGAACAACATTCCTACCTCTATACTAATTCCATTTTTGTCAAAACTCTCTGTTGAAGAAAAATAGCCTATCCTCTTGTTTTTTGCCACTGCTACAGAAATAGAGTCAATATTGCTGCTATGCTCTCTGAACACTATCTGAAACAGATCAGTTGATAATCTTGAAACTACTTACATTTTTCTACAAACAAGGATTATGATGAACTAGGTACACTGCGAACATTACGTACTTTATAATTTTCGAACAATATTGATCAAAATTGTGCTCTTATGTTGCTTGTTTGTTAATAAATCTGAAACAAAAAAGAATTCTGAATGCCATATACTTAAGATAGGTAAACGAAAATGTGCTAAGTGTGAAACATATCTAGTCACCAATAATAGATGAAACAAGTAGAAAGTTTACTATTGGTATAACTTCTATTCCAGTCTCCTATCAATATGGGCATTATTCAGTCGACGAAACTAGAAACTTGATCAAATCATTATTCAACTTCTTCAATTCTCAAAGACTGCAGAGTTGAGTGACACCGTCCTTGACTTTCATAATGTTGTAAAACTCAACTCGCTTCCATCAACCCAAGGTATCGAGCCGGATGATTGGTGGTTATTATGTAGTATATTGATAAAATGTTGTAATAGAAAATCTAAAATGAATCGCTACTATTGGCGAATCTGTTGCCAGTGAAGAAATTGAATGTGTAGACTATATGGCTTCATTCGTTTATATACAGGTAGACTCCCTCGGTTTAGCACAATGTGGGATATTTTATTTTAAGGGCATACAGATGAAAAAGATATGATGAATATGGTAGATGTACTATAACCTATATAACGTAGAGACAGTGGTGTAGATTGTAAGTAATTGACTTCTCCGGTATATATATGTGAAAGAGGTGAAGAGAAATGTTCTTAAAGTCCTTACTAGTTTGGAGGAGAGAGAGATGAATATAATAATTTATTTCATAGTTTTTTCACGGATACTTAAGGGAAACTACCGCTTTTCTTTTCTCTTTCTTTATTTTCAAAGTTAAAAAGTAAATTATTATAACTCAATTATGATATCACATATTTGGACAACAAATACTACGATTATGCTCATATATGCAGCATGTCATCAGTTTTTAATTTTATCCAAACAGCAAAATTTGTTGCTCTTCGATCTATTCGAAATCATAGCTCATCAATATGATTTGTCTTAAGTTTTCTAAAGAAGTAATTCAAGACTTTTTCATAAATAGACAGACATTACAATCGAGCTTTTCGAATTCCTTAAGCGTACTATTTCATTATTTATGAATAAAGGTGTATTGATTGATTTTAAATATTGCTGACGTTTTCGAGTGAAAGTGTAAAGAAAAGCTGATCTTGACGGTGAAAAATGGTTGTTTCTGTAAGATTTTATATTAGAGTTTTCTTTTTATTCCTCTATAACCAATATTCAATAGCTTTGGATAGAGCATCGAATTTCAGCAAAAACAAACATAACGAAAAAAATACGTGCACGAATTATTTTTTTTTTTGTCTTTCTGTGAATGATTCTTGTCACATAATAGTCTCAGTTTATATAATTTATTACATTGATTTTTTTCAACTTTTATGCTAACTGCAACATAATGATATTTTCTCAGCGAATCTAGCTCTTGTCTCCCATACGTACCTAAACATTCAATAATTAATCCAGCTGTGATCGAAAAGAGAAAGATCGCATATAAAAACATCGAAAAATGAATATGTCGACCTGTAAAAAGGTCGCCTGATAAAAATTTCATACTGCTGAAATGTCGAAACTACATAAATTACTGTTTCGTGACACATAAAGAATTCAACATGTTTATTTCATTTTTATTACTCATTTCCATCAAGTTGTACGTGAGAGAATGCATTTTCATCAAGAAACATTCAACATTCAATTATACATATGTCCTGCTATAATCATATCTCACACCAACAATAAGAATACTCATACCTCTACCTTGTGCTCATTGAGAAATATTATAAGTTATCGTTCGTGGCTTATCTAGTACACATATACAGAGATGTTTCAGAGAGTGATCCATCTTGGAACGTTCATAGAACTTTTTGGCTATCAAAAAGCGTCTTAAACAGGCTGACGAATGCACTTTTTCTCTTCTGTTAGATAATAAGGAGTACTGTTTGTCTAACTAAGACACAAATAAGAGATTTTTGAATTTATCATCAACATTTCGAATTAAGGTCGAATGAATACAACCCAGCAAAAAGAAATAATATTTCTTATGACTGGTCTAATTCTATTTGTTCAGTTTATATGTTGAGAACGATAGTTAATATACAATAGATGGTATATTAATGTCCATCGAGTGATACATCTATTAAAAAAGACATATATAGCAATCAAATTTATTCAAATAAACTACATGACTTGTTCAATATTTCACGCTGACTTTGTCCATTAATCAAATCTATACTGTATAGAAAAATCTTCCAATCAAGCGTGTGTGTAAAACCAAATCGATGAAGATTTGGCGTATAACGAAAAATAAGACTATATTGAGTCATTACTGTTTGTCAATTGAATAATTTAAATAATGTTAATTTAGTAGCATTGTCTTCTTTAATAAATGAAAGATTAGGTAGATTCAAAAGAAGAAGAAAACAAAATAATTTTTTATATTCTCAAATAAACTTTTGCATTTAAATTCTTCAGGAATGATTAACCAGAGATAAGATCGATTTAAGTTTTACAAAACTTAAATTGAACCAAGAACCAATGAGATCCAAGGATGAAACGACTGAAACTGAAATCAATGAGAAATAGGAGTGCACCAATTTCTAAAACATGATATTAAAAGAATGTCATTTTTTCCTGATTACGAATGTAGTGATCTGCGGATTTTTATATCAAGCATGATTAACCTTATCGCTGTATCCACATTTGTCATCGAAATTTGTCTCGAGTTGGTCAAATATTTACACTTTATAACCTTTTTTCGAGTTTATATTAAACAAATTCTCAAAATAGATGTGGAGAAAGCGTTCAAAAAAATGAACGCAACTGATATGAAGAATTACTAAGAGTGTGATAATTTGCAATACTGTACATTGTTTACTGTTTGATTAAAAACTCAAGGAATCGGTAGGAATAGATTAATCTTTGCTAACAAAAACATATGTCCAGTATTGAGAATTATCGAACTCCTAGCAATTCATGATGTCAGTTTGGTTTATTTTTTGAGCCTTCTTTCCAAATCTATTCTGAGAATTCGTCTAATAAAAAAAGGCAAATCTTAAAACCAGTTGAAATAGGCCAAAAAAAAACTAAAAAGTGTAAATATTTGGCTGCAGCTTCTAATAGAGAAAGACACTAATCATCTTAGTTATAACAAATTCACAAGCAACCATATTCTTAATAAGGAAAAATATCAGCTATAATATCATTTCATGCATTCCAAGCTTGAAAAGCTCCGAACCGAACCGATATCATCCCTGATTATCAATACTAGTTTAGTTTCACTATCACTGACGACAACTGGCTCTTGAGAAAATACTTATGTTGTGATTTATGATAAGACTTCCAGAGCTCGATGAAGATCTTTTATTGACCTATCATTAAAATATCTGCCATTTATTAGATGGATTTACTAAATTTCTATAAATTACATAATTTAGAAGTTAAGTTGTCGTTCTATATATTTTAAATTTTCGTCAATAATCATTGTTGAGAAAAACGTCTCGACCAGGGGAAATGATCAAATTTGTTAATGAAATAGGTAAAGTATTCATTTGCTCAAGTATTCTTCACAAGTTCATAACAAACAAGAATAGGCTTAATTAAATGATCAATTAAATAACAACAAAAATAATGCTTAAGTTGTTGACTCTTAGCTAAACTTTTTTTTTACTGACAGCAATAGAAATCGTTCTAAAAAATTCATGAGTATCTCTCTCTAATTTATCTTATAATTTCACTGCTGTTTTGCTTCGAGAATATCTTACTTAACCAATCGATGATTTTATTCGTCAACTTTCTCTGATAATATCGGCTTGATCAATAGATGCATATATATTACGCTACGAATAACATCATTCGATTATGATAAATCATGTCCTGTTAATGTTTTGACAGGAGCATACAATTGTACATCAAATAAATCTTTTAAAAGATAAGTCTGACATTGATGAATAGGGTGCTCTTGCAAAAGCCATTTCTTCTGATAGATAGAAAGGCACATTTCGAACCATTCTATTGCTGTAGAAAGATCATCTATGTTGGGTAAATGAAGACCTACACATTTTTCATATCTACGATGATTTTGTTGAAATCATCATTGGCACCGTCACTCAAAACTTCTTAATAAACGGCATTTAGTCTAACTTGTAATTTTTTAGCGACTAATGTAACGTCAATTGATTCACTAAAACGATGCAAATTGGTAAATGCTACTGGATGATTCGCTGGTTGATTTCCATCACTGATTGAAAAAGTAAATAAATAAAGATTTCGATGTCATATCGATGAGATCTGTTCCTCGATATCTATCTGCTATTCCTATCGCACTACTACCCATCAGAATTGAATTTTGCCAGAGATAAATTTAGTGACAAATCACATATAAATCATGAAGTTTCTCTACAGAGATCTGTAGCTTCTTTCATTCTATTCCGTTGTATCAAGACTAGTACGATATTGGATTAAATACGGTCAATAAAAGAATCT